GAAGATAATGCAATTAATTGGCCACATCAAAGTAACTTGACCTTTGTTCACAAACGTTCCTAGGTTTTTTCCTTTTATCCTTTTATGCACAACGATTTCTTCTTTACACTTGTTTATCTAGTTGCAAAACGTACTGTACTAGCTCTGAAGGTGAAAACAAAACAAAAATTTACAAAGTAAGTGACTTTGCACTCACTCCCACCACTTCTATTCAAATTCCACATTCACGTGATAGCACGCCATCATAATTTCGTAGTAATGAGTGTTAGATAGGTTTATCTTTGTTTTATACTTCAGTTTTTTTTTTTTTATCGATAAAACAATTTCAATAATAATAATGAAAGTTAAATCTTAACTTTTGTATTTTTATTTTAACTCTTTTTGTAATAACATGTCGTGATAGTCACATTGTATGGAATGACTACTATTAGAAGCGGAAACTAAATTAGTGGAACATACATGATTAAGGGAATAAACATATCTTACATATATATAACATGAGTATAGTAAAACAACCAAATTGATATAAACAATATATGTACTTGTATATAGTAATCCCAAATAATCATACGTCCTAATGTCGGTCAAGCACAATTATACAAGGCATATCAATAGTATCGCTATCAAAAGAGATCAAAATGTCTGTCCGCAACAACTCCTTAAAGCCTAACCCTAATCTACTATTATACAACGTATGATCATTGCAATCCAAACTACCATGGAAACAAAAAGGGTAAGTTAGACTTAAAAAATATATACGTATAGAAACAAGTCTATAATATACAACACACCAGAAATCATACATGAAAGCTAATCACATCCAAAACAAGCATGTACCTCACCTAATCATGTCTCAAAATACATCAAAATGTACATGAACACACCTCAACATACATCATATGCAAACACATCAAATCAATGCGTCATCACACATTCACCTATGAAAATCTCCTAACAACATGAGTAATCTAAATGATTTCCACTCTAAACCCTAAACCTTAAATCACAACAAAATGGGATACCAATCTCTCATCTAATTTATCGAGTCTCATCATTTATACTAGGAAAGTCTGGTTCTACCGTCAGGAGTAGTACAGCTGGGTATAGGCTTACCACGACCTTAAAATGCATTACCAAGTCACATATAGAATTAGTCCATTGATTATCTTCAAGGAATCACGCAACATTTTCAGGTACTTGGTTAAGGGTTGTAACCCTTGATCTCCTACCTTACTCAACCACTAACTAAGGATTTAGAGGAGACTCAACACACCTCAAAACCTACTCCAAGAGACACACCTATTCAAGGGGGGTTTTCCAAACAGTGGCCTACTCGATCACCACTCTGAGATACCCTATGTGGGATCTTTAGTTTTCAAAATATTTTTCTCTCCTCAAATCCTAAGTTAGCCATCATGCTATAATTTCACACTGCATTCTCAGCATCCACACCTCACCATACACCCACTATATACATCACCTCCACTTAATACATATAAAGATAAACAATATCAATTATGTATAGCATGCCAATGCTTAACACCTCAACCAATAATAGCATATTAATGCTTAACAATTCATATAATATAACATATCAATGCACCACCATTCATTCAACAATAGCATACCAATCATACAAAGCATATCAATGCTCATTACCATTTCAACTACACAAAGATAACATTCCAATGCTTATGATCATTTCAAATACACAAGATAGCATACCAATGCTTATTATCATTATCCTATAACATCCAACATGCAATAGACACAAACATTTTATTCATGTTCACCAAATTCACTCATCATTTAACATGTATCAACATGCAACTTATCAAAATCACTGATATTACACTGACTACCTTCACATAAAACAACCCATAGTGAGTTCTACTACTCCTGTTATGCTCATCCTTATCTCATATGAAAGTCAAGAAGATTTTCTACAACTTTCATGAAGAACTCAGGTTCCAATTCCCTCATTTACCATGTTAAAAATTGTAAAAACCGTAACTGTTTTCCTAAATGTTAACAACTTGACCTTTGCTCACTAAAAAAGTTATAACTTGATTTCTAGACCTTTTTTTTGGTGATTTCAACGCCATTGGAAAGCTATCATCCAAGGTTACAACTTTCATGAAGACCCCAATATCAAATTCAATCATATACCCCCAAAGCTTTAGTGTTGGATTTCTGCCAATTTCATTTTCTCATAGGGTTGCAGCGTTGGATCCCTGCCAAATCAGTTCTTCCCAAGGTTGTAGTGCTCAAATTAGCGTCACAACGCTGAATCTTTACCTCCTTGTTTTCTCTCACAATTTTAGCGCTCCACCAACACTCCAACACTAAGTGTAGAGTTTTTTGCAATTTCATGGCTTCCCACCTTTGTTCCTCACCTATATTCCATCAATTTTACCCCTAAACATGATCTACATTCATAATCTCTACTCAATTTGTTCATACAACCCATAAACCACAAAAAACTCAACATACATGCATCAAAGCTCAAAGAAAATCATCAACATTGAACCTTCCATCAACAAATCAGAACCTCAGTTTTCAACATGCAAATCACTTTGAATCCTTTTCCCCCAGGTCAGATTTTTAGCAATTCTACCAATATTTAAGTTCTTAACTAAATCAACAATCCAACAAATCATCAAAATTTAAGAATTCCAACTTCCCTTACCTTGATTTCGAGATCTTCGGGGAAGAAGAAGAAAAGAAGAAAGGAGAACTCTGAAGTAAAAGAGGAAAAGAAGAAGACGATCCCGCAGTTGAAGTTCACCAACCCTAGAGCTCGAATTTCCTCACTTGCTTCTAATGCTCAACTGTAAAAAGTGGTAAGGAAAGAATACTTAAGTGAAAGTTAAAAGGAGAAGAGAAAGGGAAGAAAGAAGAATCTTTCTCCTTTGAGTCTTATCTTACATTTTTAATCACCAGGTTTATTCTTATAATCTTGATAGTTATAATCAATATTTAAAATTAATACTTTAATTTGTATAATATATAATTTAAATGTTTATTACATATAATTAAACTTATAATAAATTATATATACAAATAAATACCATGTTTAATATATAAATTATATTTAAACATATAGATTATATTGTAGATTCATGATAAATAATTTATATTATATATATATTTTTATTTATTGATAATTTTTTTTATAGAAAAATATTAAAAATTAATTTATAAATAATTATGATAAATAAAAATTAAATTAAATAAAAAGTAATTTAAAAAAAAAAAGCTCTCCTATTGAATTTTTTTTTATTTATAAAAATACAAGTTTGCATTAATATATAAAGATGTATATATAAAATAAGATTAATTAACTTCAATACCGTCTAAGCCATATGTAATACCATAAATCGGATTGAAATGATCTAAAGCCATAACATGAATACGGTCTCAAAATTCATCGAATCTTAATTCAAAATCCAAATCTATCATAATCAATTTCGCGTTGCCGCGGTTAACAAGTTGTTATAATGAGTCATATATGCTCACAATTAATATGTTCGTATTACATTTTTGGTAAATTAATAAATGTTATCCAAACATTACATAACAATAACGTATAATTGATTTGTTCTTCTCATAAAAAAATATTATTAAATAATAAAGAATTTAATTTTGATATATTATAATTTTTAAAGTAATTATACAATTCAATACTTTAATCATATATCATATTCAATAATTGAATGGTAACATATTTACTAATAGATTTGAAATAAATTCAGAAAATATACATGATATTCACTAATATATATATATATATAGAGATCTTTACTCCAAAAGTAAGTCTATTTAAATTTATTTCACTCAATAACTCGTGTTCTACATAAAATTTTATTGATCCAATCACATTGAATTATAAGTACTTAATGTATAAATCAAATTTGCAAATTTTTATAAAATTTAAAAATTATTTGATACTTGTTTCATGAATTAAAATCAACATATAATTTGCATTTGTGATTATCCGTCAATGTGAATTAATAAAATGAAGTATCAAATAATTTTTAAATTTTTTAAAAAGTTGTGAACTTAATCTATGCATTAAGAACTTTTAATTCAATGGTTATATTGATAAAATTTGATGTGGAACATGAATTATTGAATGGAGTAACTGAGTTTATCCTCTCTCTCTCACACTCTCTCTTTACATATATAATATGAGTTAATCACCTATATACTGTCAGTGTAAATTTTTTTTACACTGATAACCAATTATATCTTTTAATTATGTCATGTCACTGTTAAAAGTAAATGTGTTTATAGTGACATGACACAATTAAAAGATATAATTGATTGCCAGTGTAAAAAAACTTTACACTAACAGTGTACAAGTGATTAATTCATAATATATATATATATATATATATGTGTGTATGTATTCACAAATACGAGTGACATGGAGGTTAAAAAGAGTATAGCAACAAGCAAGAAAAAAAATGGCATTGAAGGTTGATGCTTGATGACTAATGAATCCTTTCGATCCAAAATAAAAAAATGTCGCGATAAAGAGGCACGTTTTGTTTAAGGATTAAATATGTTTTTTTAGTTCTTTAAGTATTGTAGTTATGTAATTTTAATCTTTTAAATTTTAATTAAATAATTTTAATTATTCAAGTATCTTAGTTGTACATGGATGAAAATTATAGTATACATAACTTAAATGTGTAAAAAAAAAAATATAATTATAGTATTTAATGAACAAAAATCGTATAATTTTGATACTTGAAAGATTAAAATTTCTTAATTAAAAATTGACAATTACAATTACATAATTACGATACTTAAAAATTAAAATTGATGGATTAAAATCTTAGAAATCAATACAATACTTAAAGAATCAGAAATATAATTAAATAATTTTTAATTATTTTATTTAATATATTTATAGTCGATAATATTACCTTTTAAATTATTATTATATATTTATATATTTAAGGGTAAAAAAGTGAAAAGTGACGAGAGAAAAAAACAAAAGAGCGAGCGAGCGTTGGTAGAGAGTTGAGGGTTAACGAAGGAAGGAGTCGACTTCAGAACCCAAACCCAATCCAAAAAAGTGAGAGAGAGTGGTGAAACTGAAAGCCATGAATTCGAAGAAACGAGAAGACGAAGAGGAGCAGGAGCAGGATCTGTTCCTCCCTCCGCCGCCTCCCGATCTGACGGAGCCCTTCTCGCTCTCGCCGTCGGAAAGCTCTCCGCCGCCGTTCATATCGCCGGACCCCCACATCTCGTCGCAGTTCTACACGTTCACGCCGGCATCCCACTCCCTGATGGTGCGGTCCCTGCTGCTGCGGCGGCTGCCATCCCCGGCGGACATCCGCGCGGCGACCCCGCGGGCGGTGCTGGCCTCGTGGCGGTCGGTGTGGAAGGACAGGAACGAGGACACGGCGTACCTGACGGCGTGGAAGCGCATCCAGGACAAGCTGTCGACGACGAGCCACCCCTCCCACCCGAACTCCCACTTCCTCTGCTTCAAGAACAACCCTCACCACTTCGTCCCCCACCTCCACCAGTGGCACCACATCGTCCTCTCCTCCCACGCCGACTCCGACCTCACCCACCTCAACCTCAAAGACACCATCGACAAAATCAAACAGCACTGGACCGTCGGCGCCAAGTTCTACGGCATCCCCGAGAGCTACATTCGCGTCTGCGTCGCCGCCTGCCCCGTCTGCAACTCCTCCCCCTCCCCCGCCGCCTCCCGCGCCGCCGCCGCCAAGCGCCGCCGCTTCGAGTACACCGAGAGCTTCGACGTCCCCGCCCGCGACGTCCCCTCCAAGCTCCAGCAGCTCGCCGCCAAGCACAAGGTGGTGCTCTGCATTCGCCAGAAGTACATCAGGTACAAACCCTTCATGGCCGAGGTTAAGGATTACGCTTGCCATCGTGCTGGCGAGCCCGCTGCTAAGAAATCTAGGGTTTTGAAGCGGGAGCCTTATGCCTCTAAGCGCTGTGGCTGTGGCTTTAGGATTAGGGCTATTGTGCCCATTGCCAATTACAATGAGAAGGATAAGAGTTTTGTGTACCAGGACGAGGGGGTCGCCGTTTTTAAGCTTTATGCTGTGCATTCCGGGCATGAGCCCGGTCCCTTGGATGGGAATGCTAGGATTATGCATAGGGTTGTGGGGCATAAGGGGGGTGGCTTTTTGATGGATCAGGAGGCTGTCTATGGGGTGAGTGAGGAGATCGAGATGGAGGGGGAGGGCGGTTTTGGGGGTTTGTTGGGGAAGGAGGATGGTGTTGGTGGGGATTTGCAGTTTTCGGTGTTGCAGCAGGTTCAGGAGTTGAGGGCTGAGGTGGGGGTGTTGGAGGGGAAGGTTGCCAAGATGCCCAGGGAGTTGTTGGGGGCGGTGTCGCGGGAGTTGTTTGAGGTTTTGAGTAAGGTGAGGAGTATTGGGGATGCGGCGGGGTTGAAGCCGGAGGAGGGGATTGGTGGGTTGATTGGCCAGGATAAGGCCGCTCACGTGGTGGAGGAGGATGATGTGTTGGTTGGGGATAATGATCTGGCTAATTGGAGTAACCATCACGAGAGGATTTATGGGGACGGCAAGGATACGGAGCTGATTGAGGATGATGAGGATAGTTTTGGCCGGACGTTGGGGGAGGTTGTTTCATGGGGGGATCAGATGAGGACGGAGTGCAGGGTTCAAAAGGATCAGGATCTCATGAGCGACAGTTGTAAGCCGGAGAAGTGGTTGAAGTGCGGCGACTTTGATGAGAAGAGCATCCTTGATTGTGATGAGGAGGATAGTAAACTAAGCAAGCCCATCAGAATGATCAGGCACGATGACGACGGGATAGTTTCGGATGTGGTAGGTCTTGGCTGTATGCAGGTGGATAGTTTCTACCAGGACAATCCTAAATGGTATGATTCTCCTTGTGCTTTGGATGCTGGTGCTGATTGTGGAGATAGTGGATTTCGTCATGGAGAGATTTTATAGTGCTATGCCATAAATGAACATTTGAGTTAATCTACGCTAACTTAGAGATCGAAATCTTCTGTGGCCATTTACCTCTTCCTTCCAACCAATAGAAGAGGGAGGGATTGTACATTTATGTATACACAAGATTGGAGCCGCCCACATCATGCCTTGCGTTTTAGGTGTATTTATTATTGCTTGTGGTTCTGTAATGTATAACCAGTATGCTTCTTGCACATAACTTTGTGTTCTGAGTATGACTATATCTGTTAACCTCGTTCAAGACGACCTTCAGCTTTTTAATCTAGGTCCTTATAATATCCGATCAGATCAGTGTTTCTAGTAATCTGCTTTTGAACTTAGAGAGTGATTTTTGTATGTATTATGAGGAACTAGACTACTGTCTGCTATTGAACTATTGCGTGTTTTGAAATTTTCTCTATGACTTGTATTTATGTATGTATGTATGTATGTGTTGGACTCTGTAGTCATTTGCTTTACATATTTACTCATTGCTTATATGCAAAAGATCATTTGGTTTCTGGTTCAATTTGAAGATTATCAATTTTTATGCTATAGGGGTGAGACAACCCAATATATCATCAGTAGCTCAGCCCCATTGTTTATTTCATCTTGGCACATGTTTTGGCAATCTCTTCCCTGCCAAGTTGAAGAATGAAGTTTTTCCTTGTCATAACAAATGCCTTCAGGTACAGCCAGTTTTCCTCATCTCCGGAAGTTCAAAATTATGATACTTTTGGATTCTTGTATTTAACCCCCTTCCCATATCTTATACTGTGGTTCCTTTGACAAATGCTATAATATTATATATAATGCTCGAATACGTGATTGGCTTAGAAATTAAATAACAGTTGAGGCAGATCTTTCATTTATTTTGTATGTAATATCCAAATCTTCACATTGACCATGAGCATTAAATGTGAAGTGCATGGCCCCCTCGGGTGGGCATAGAAACTAATATTCTTTAGTTAGGTGAAAAGGGTACCTCAGTTGAGATTGAACTTTGCTACAAATTTGAATCCATCTCTCATAATTTGTATTCAACTGATAATTTTAACAGATCAATTAACGTACTATGAACCTTAAAGTATGCATGGGTTCCAATAGTATGTGCCGAGGTCACAATTTTACACTTGCAATTGAGTTAATACTTAATATTTAGGAGTTGAACTACTTGATTCAATAAATGTTTCAGAGATTTTGATTTTGTTTTAAGTTGCAACATCGGGCCCGAAGAACCGTTTGTAAATCCGATTAGACTCCTAATATCGTTAGATAGCTCAGCGAAGAACATCATAGATGAGTGCCAAAATTTGATTGTGTTGTTGTATCTAATATCTATGAAAATGTTACCGTTGCATTGCATGCCTTGTTGGAAATTCAATGAATGTAATAGTATCTTTGTGTGGATGGAAAGATGTGGATAACATCTTTTTCATCAACTAATTTCATGGTTGAATAAGTTCACGGGCTGCCATATAATACTTTTCAACGGAGCTTGTCCTGTTCATTATGTTTTTTTCTGAAGCAGTTTTCTTGCTGTCTATTTTAAGTTTTGGGGGAAACAGTGTTAGGACTATCAGGGTTCTGTGTACTGAGCTTACAATTTCTATGCTCAAAATTTTTACATCTTTTAATGCCTTTTATAACATGCATATAGGTTAAATAAGATGAACTTAATATTTTGTTTCACTGCTAGAGTTGGTAACCTTTTGTGGTGCCTAATTATAATTTTACATCTGTCTTTCATAAGTTCCCATTGGCTCTGAAGGCTACTGATATGGAGAAAGATGCTAGATGCTGCAAGGACCAATATCATGGTTTAGCCGTAAATTAGGTATGCTTTCATATTAGATAGCTGGCTGGTTGTTTTGAGCTGAAAGCACACCATAGAATCTACGCCTTATGTTTATATTCATTACTGTGCTAGACTTGGTCCATTTTGAAGTCTTGAATCTCTGTGATGGTATATTCTCTGGCAGACTTTTAATCTTTTGAAGTTTGATCATATTCTTCTTTTGTGGCTTTAACTTTCCTTTTGATTATTCTCAATCTTTATAATCGTTATCATGCTTGAGAATCAAAGAATTTTGATTTGATTTAATTTGACAATAGTATGCCAAGTTGGGCTATGGAATATTCTGTAACTTTGAACTGTTAGAATATAACATCATATTTTGTCTAATGTCTCGCAACAATAGACTTCATAGCTTTGTGGTGTCAGTATAATTTTTTCATATATAGAAAACTAGATTTGGAATTTCAGATAAGTATAGAAGTGTATATTATTTTTATACATATTATTTAATATTTATGAAATTCAATCATTTACTTCATTTGTGTCTTAAACTTTCCTTTTGTTTCTTTGCAATATTTGTTTTATAGGCTTAAATATATTTTTAGTTTCTGTAGAATAAACAAGTATTGACTTTGTCCTTGTAATATTTCCATTGTTTTTCATCCCTCTAAAGTTTGGTATTATTTTTAGTCCCTACTATGAAGTGATCATGTTTGACTACATGTTTGTTTATTAAAAGGTTAAGTAATCATCCTATCCCATGTGTTACCCACAATGGTTAGCAATACCATGTTGACTCTTCTAATTTCTTTTATAGATCCTTAAAAAATATTATTTATCTAATTTAAAATGATTGTTAAGTACAAAAAAACGACTTCAGATTTTAGAGGAATGAAAATGTTTTTTATAGGGACCAAAAACCAAATTTGCATAATTTACAAAGACTGAAAATAATGTTTACGAGTTTTAGAAGGATGAAAAACAAAAAAAAATATTATAGGGACCAAACTCAAAACTTGTTCATTGTATTGGCATTAAATACATATTTAAAGCCTGTTTTATAATAGTAATTATGCTCTAAAATTTAATTTCATCACATTGAGAGTGAATAATTAGATAATTTTGATGAGATTTGACACTGGTATGCGAAGTTGTGCTCAGATCTGGAATATTCTACAACTTACGAGTTACAACTGTTTTAATATAATTGCATCTGTTATCATAACTCATAAGTCCAGCAACGATAGACTTCATAGTTTTGAGGTGTTATAATAAGTTATGCATATATAGAAAACATGATTTAGAATTTTAGACAAGGCTAGAAGAATATATTGTTTTCATTTGTTTTATTGATAACAATGCAAGAAACTATGTATTAGTTGATACATGTTTACCATCTGATATTTTTAAACATCACTAAACATGTAAATACCATCAGCTAGACCCTTTGATGGCTGGGAAACAAACATGTGTAGCCATGCTTTGATTTACAAATGATTATGATAAATTTTTTTGAGAAGAAAATGGTCTCGCCCATCTCTTCTTTTTTGTCATCATGTAGGAACACTAGACCTGAGACCAAAAGTGGTTCTTTTCTCTTTGCTTTGTTTTATTGGGATTAAGGAGTTGTTCATCTCTGACCCTTGGCTGTTTTGTTGTTCTTCTTTTCCAGTGTTCAGAATTTTCTTGTCTTCTGTTCTTCCGTGTATGTTTTATTACTGAAGACTGTGAAGGCATGAAGAAATGGATCCTAATTGTATGACGGTCTTTCTCTTATTAGTCTCATGTGCAAATGATCCAATGTGATATTGATATTTCTTGAGAGTTATTTACTAACATCTTAAATAACCATTCTTACATTGTCAACATGTGTTATAATGGTGTTGTTGGAAAGCTGCCTTAATTGCGGCCTATCAGAGTTGGTTGCCAATGACTCAAAAAGGGCTACCTACAAAGGGTCTGATTAAAAAGGTTCAGTGAAGCTTTGTGCAGTTGCCGGGACATCAGTTCTTAGGGGGTTGAGGTCTTATATTGTGACTAGAGATAAGGCCTGGGTAGTGCTTATAAGGCTGGGGCAATTCTGATCCTACAAACTGGTTTTGATGGTTCAGTTAGGCCTTAAGTCCAAATTTTAAGAGGTGCAGAAAATTCTATATGTTCGTGATGGTACAAATAATATCATCAGATACACTATTGGATACAATGCTAGTGTTGAAAAAATAATACACATGATATGCAGTTCTAGAAAGGAGTCTCCTAGTCATTTTGACATAGTTTCTCTTTCTTAGTGATCGACTTATTCTGAATATCATTGAATTTCAGTTGTTAAAAACTGTTGGTGATATTTATAAACTTGGTCTTCTGCATTTTGTGGGCTCAGTGTTAAATAACCATTCATATGTTATCTACATGTGTTATAATAGTGCTGTTGGAAAGCTGTCTTAATTTCAGCCACATTGGCCTATCAGAGTTGGTTGCCAATGTCGCGAAAAGGATTACCTTTGAATGGGCTGACTAGGTTGAGTGAAGCATCAGAATGTATAGTTGTCGGCATGCCAGCTCTAGGAGGTTAAGATCTCGTGTTGATTAGAGATAAGGCCCAAGTATCGCCTTATATAAAGCTTGAAAAATTCTCACTGTACAAGTCAATTTTAACTGTTAAGTCAGGCTTTCAATCCAAATTGTAAGAGGTGCAAATATGTTCATACTGTGCAATATCTTAGATGCATTGTTGGATATGAATATATGATACAATGCTAGTGTGTTGAAAAACAACACACATGATATGCAGTTCTAGAAAGGAGTCTCCTAGTCATTTTGAAAGTATCTTTCATATTGATTGACTTATACCGAATATAATTGAATTTCAGTTGAACTTGAACTATAGGTGATATTTATGAATTTGGAACTCGTGCATCGGTGAAGTTCCAAAAAAACGAGACTCTGGTTTGGTAGATAATTTTTGGTGGTTAGTTATGTTTGGTATTCAATCAGTGTCACTATTTAAGGGTTGTTGGGTGATAAGTGATGCTTTGTGGGAAAACATCTAAAGCAGTGGCTTAGAAATAAGTTGTTACCGGGAGATTGCATCAAGCTACGTTTTTTTAATATTTATACACTAATTCTATAAAAGGTTTGGATGAATTGAGTTCAATTAGCGGGCATGATCGGAAAGTTGCGTGGAACTTTGGGTACTGTTTTGGTATCATTCGTGGAATATTTCAGCACTGGGTGGGTGGAGTGGATTGTTCTATAAGATATTTGATTCTTTTAGTTTCTTGTTTTATTGTTATTTGTGTGGCTTGTGGTTGACGTGTCTTCATGTTTCGCAACAAGTACCGATAGGATGCCTATTATTGGTTCAATATTCATTTACTATCTGTAATCATATGTCGTTTACTGAAATGCTTTTGAAAAATATGCGTTTTTAAGCTGATTCGAATGATCATCGAAGAACTTGATGCTCTTGCTTTTAAACCACTCTATGGCTCATGCTCTGTCCATAAGTAAATGATCGCCATCCAAGGATTGATAATTGGAGCTTTGTGAACGTTATTAAGTCTTTATAAACTGGTTACACAATTCAAGTTAGTTTTTTTTTTAACAATTATTTTTTGAGCATTCAATCAAATTCTCGTAAAAAGATCGTCTTCTGGGCATGGATATTCGTTTGTGGGTTCCTTGAGTTTACGAGATTAAAATGAATCATCTTTCCGTTTGCTTGATTAATTAAACTCCTTAACCGATGCAAGTCGGTGGTGATAGCTTAGCAAATTCACGCATTTAGATGTTTCAGAATTTATGGATAACCACTTAACCAGATGATCGTTATTTAAACATGATAAATATTGCATGATGATGATCAACACTATTGCTATATTTTGTGGCATGAAAATATTTTATAACTATATATATGTCCAACTTAGAGAAAAAAAAAAGTGGAAAATTTGTTAGCCATAAAGCAGCGGTCATGTCATGTTACATAATTCATGTTTGAAAGTACTCTTCCAAAGGTACAATTAGCTACATTCATCAGGCATGATTAACAGAAGCATTGGCATTGAAATAGAATAAAATGACAGTTATCGTATCCTCAGGGAGAGTTTGAAGGCTGGAATCTTACTCCAGGCAAGTATCTTGTGACAAATTCTCGTGCCAAAGCTTGGAGTTCCCTATCCTCGAGTTGTTGATCTGATGGATTGAAAACATTACTTAATTCTAACGGAAGAATTGGATCAAGGTGCATAGGGGCACTTTGCAAGTCAGCATTTGATGCCAAATGATCTGAGGAATGAAGAGTTAGTGGTGATGATGTTTGAGGGTGTGGAAGAGGAGCTACTTGCATTGGCATGCGCATTGTTGCTAGACGGGCCTGGACATAGGTTAACTCAGCTTGCAAGTTCATCACCTGCACAAATATTCAAATTAAGATATAGCAAATCATTTTGTGTTCTACCCTATTTGAGAGTTTGTCATATCTATAGTTTGTTTCTGCAATTTACTAGTTAAAAAGTGTAAAACCAACTTCTTGAGTTAGAATGAAACTAGTTTCTTTATTATATTACTATTACCATTACTATTCTATATATAAAAAAAGGGCAGTGAAATTCTAACCCATTTATAATTAAGTGATATCAGTTGCACCTCAATTAAACAATTACCATGCATATAGTGATGTTATGAATAATATCTGACAACTTAATAATTTTGTAGCCATATTAATAGAGCAAATTTTCTGAAGAAAGAGATTAACTGATCATAAAGTGCTTTTACCCAATCATTGAACAGAAACAGACCAATAGTAAAAGAATGTCAGAGATAAAGAGATAATGATTATGGCTACTTACCTGAATCATGTGCCGGCATTTTAATACAATTTGACATACTCCAAATTATACATGCATATGAAGAATATTCTCATACAGTGTTAAAAGATAAACTTAACCTTCAATATTTTATTCTGACTGTTACATTTACGTGGTTTGTTTAATTGCAGCTAGAATAGAAGACAAAATCGATCTTATCCAAAACAACTTTTCCTTTCCTCTCAGAGGCTAGAGAATCTAGAAGGGATTACTTAATTGGTAGTATTTGGTAGCTAATCACATAGGGAATGGAATTCTGCCTAATTAAAGATGAGTATGCGTATCTGCCCAATAATGGCCACGAAATGAGAACAAAAACATAGTTTTTGTGTGCTGCGTGCAAGTGTTAAATTACTATTTCCTCTATGCTTAATCATAGCCTCACAAGCTTCATGGATGAATATGAAGAGAGGTTCTGACAGTCAATTATTGCATCTTAGAATTTAGATTATACTTGACACATTCTAAGATAAGGAAAAGCTTGTTGCTATTGTATCACGCATCAACTTTATCTAGTAATAAATAATTACCTTAGCACATAGACTTGTCAAAACAACATTGATATATATATATATTTAACTTTC